TGCAGAGAGTGTGCCCAGTGTGCAGAAATACTAACACACCCAGTGACTTTCCTTCCAGGGAGCCACAGAGCCCCCTGTCCTGCCCTGCCCTCCTCAAGGGTGATGTCTGGCAGCCCCAGAACAGATGCCACAAGCAGCATTTTCTGAAAGGGAGGGATGTCACCCTCCTAGCCCAGCAGGGATTTCCTTCCCTCCTGGAAGCCTTCTCCAATCCCAGCAGAGCTAGGTAGGGGCAGCCATGCCCACTCCAGTTTCCTCCTTCAGGCCTGGGAGCCCAGCCTGACTCTGGAATCTCTGCCCCATCCTTGGACCCGGTAGTTCAACCAAAACCAAACCCATTCCTGTTAAGTTGATTCTGACTCATGGAGACCTCATGTGTGACAAAGTAGAACTGAGCTCCATATGGTTTTCTTGACCGTAATCTTTACAGAAGCAGACTACGAAGCCTTTTTTCCATGGAGCTGCTAGGCGTGTTCAAATTGCCAACCTTTATAGCTTAGCAGCTGACTGCAAACCTCTTGCACCACCCAGGCTCCTTAAACCCTCCTAGTGGGGCTGATGGCAAACTTTTTCTGTCCCATTTCTCATGGCTCCTCTCCTGATGGCATCAAACAGGGACTGTTGCTAGCAAGTTGATGTTAAATCACCAAAGCAGAAACTCCTGCCTTCCAGAAATAGATGTGGCACCCATGCCCCACCCAAGGACTATGTGAGAGAGTCAGGCTGGACCTGGCAGGGCTTGGGTGGGGGCAGTGGAAGAAGTGGACAGGAGGCAGGAGGCTAGAAAATTACTAAATTATTCCACCTCTGGTGAATCACTGGTGGCCCATGAAGTCCAGTTTTGATTTAAGGAGGATCGTTAATGCCTACTTGGCCAGGAGTTGTCTGTTAAATAGGAGGAGCCCACCTTCTTTGAGAGGTGGGTGCCCCATTCCTTGAGGGAGTCAGATGGTCGGAGAGCAGATGCATCTTCCCCCCTGCCCAGCCCTGAGCTCTGCTCTGCTGTGGGGTATGGTGGACAAAGAAGGAGGAGAGCCAGGGACAGCCTTCAGCGACCATCCTCACCCCTTGGCAGGGCAATGAGGGCATGGGCAGGCTGGGCTGAGAGCCGGGTCTGGAGGGTGGGGCTCAAGCCTTGATGGAGGAGGGGGTCAGGAGAGGTTGGCACAGTTGGGAGGGCTTCCTGGAGGAGGAAGAGTGTCAATGCAAACATTCGGGGCAGTGAGCCTGGAGGCATGGGACCAGGCCCCTTGTGTCTTGAGCAGAGCAGGATAGTGGTGAAGACTATACAGGGCAGGCAGTAGAGAGCCTTGAGAGGCCTTAAGGAAATGGCTGTCTCCTTTCTGGGTCTCTGTAAAGACCCCTTGTCTGCTCCTCCAGGCTCAGAGGGGACTCTAGACAAGCACCCAATCCTCTCATCAGCCCCTGGCCTCCCCAGGGGACAGGCCCTTCTGGGTGGTCCAAGAGCCAGGGCCAGCAGGTCCTAGATCAAAGTCAGGAAAGGGATGGAGTGAGCGCCTGCCTGCAGAGGCTTTCAAGTGAAGGTCAAGGACCTGGGTCAGGGGGATTCTCTGCGGGGGAGGGGGGGGCTTTCTGACTTCACCACCCCGTCTCCAGGACTCTGTCCTGTCTTCCAGGCCTCTGTTGGTGCTCTCTGCTCCATTCAGGACCGCCTGAGCAATTTGGGAAAATTCACCCAAGCTACTGTTGAGCTGATGGTGCCTGGACGCCTGGGAAATATCTGCTGTCTTATTCCCTCCCACCCTAAGCTCCATCATTCCCGGTGGGCCTCCTGGAGGAGTGAATTCATACCTCCCCATAACTGCCCACGGTGGGAAATCCCTGCTGGGCCCCAGAGGAAGGGTCCTTTCCTCCTCCCCCGTCAGCTCCAGCAACCCCTCTGCCCTGCCCTCCACAGAAGTTTCTGGTTAGAGAGTGACAGCCACAGCCACACGATGGGTGTCTTGTCCCCACGCAGCAGAGGCCCAGGCCCACGTCTGGACAAAGGCTGAGTTTCTCTCACTAGATCCCTGTGGGGATGGGGCCCAGATCGTCCTGGGAACAGCCACTCTGACTGGAATGCGGTCTCTCAGGGCATGTCAGAAACAAGGCACATCTGGAAAAGCGTTTGCCAGAGACCATTGCTGCCAGCAGAGCCAGACAGTGCCCGTGCCTGAGTGGCCCAAGCCCCACCCAGGGCTCAGGAGCTGGGATGAGATGGGGGCAGGCCTTCCCTTATTTAGCCTGGCACAGGCCTCCTGGAGGTTGGGTGGGCCTGTGCCACCAATCATGGGAGGGAAGCCAGAGGCAGTGGAGGGTGAAGGGACAGTCCCCACTGAGTCAGGACACAATGGAGCAAGAGCTGGGATGGAGACAGCACCCTGCCTCAGGTCACAGGCCCTGAGCCAGCCATAGACACTGTCACAGACACCAGAGCACACACGGGTGTGCACAGGTCACAGGCCCTGAGCCAGCCCGTGGGCACTGTCACAGACACTGGAGCACATGCAGGTACACACAGCTTGTACTTCTGTCTCTGCTGTACTGCACCCAAGCCAGCCTGATTCCAGTAGCTTGGTGCCTGCTTTCTCCCTGCCACCTTTCGGGATCCCTCTTGGTTGGGTCCCAGTACTTGCCAACGTCAGAAGTCATCCCTGAACCAAGCAGAGGCAGGGATGGGGTGGGTACTGCCAGGGGTCAGGAAGCTGAGGGGGGAGGCAGAGGGACATGGTCCGAGGGGTGGCATTGCCCTGTCCTAGAGATCCTAGGCTGAGGGGAGCAGGGCTGCGTCCTCCACAGCCTCAGTCTGAGGAATCCCACCCCTGGGGAGTGAGTGCTGATCCGAGGCCCCTGCAATTCCCCGCCATAGGCCAATGTTGCCATCAGGATGCCTGGGCCAGGTGCCAGGGCAGGGGGCCAGGGATGGGGGCTGAGAGAGCTTCCTGGGGTGAGAGAGCTGAGGAGGGCCGCCTGGGGTAAAGGAAGTGGAGGAGGTTCCGGGAAGTGGACCAGTGGGCCGGCTCCCTCTCTCAGCCGGCTAAAGAAGCATGATTACCTTCAGACATCATGCTTGGTATAGTAGAGGGTCAGCGAAAAAGAGCAAGACCCTCAATGACATGGATTGACACAACGGATGCAACAATGGCCTCAAACACAGCAACAATTACCAGGATGATGCAGGACCAAGCAGTGTTTGGTTGTTGTACACAGGGTTGTTAGGAGTTGGAACCAACTTGACAGCACCTAACAACAATCACCTCAGGCCGCCAGCCCTCTGAGCACCACCCCAGCTCCCTGCCTCAGGTCTACTCTGTCTTGCACTTACAGGCACTGAGGTGAACACAGTACTCCCTTTCTTCCCCCCCACCCCGCCCCCCACCTGCTTCTGGCAGTTAGGCCCCCATGCCCAGCAAACAACAGGCTGACCCCTGGGAACTTCGCCTGAGGGCCACAGTGGCTGTGGTGTGTGCTGCGACAAGGCAGACGGGAGCCGATGGGCCGGTGGCATTCTCTGCAGGATGGCCCCTGTCCTTGCTCTTGGCACCCTTCGACACTTAGAGAAGCCCTTCTCCTGCTAGGCCTCAGTTTCCTGCCTAGAAAGTGGGGAGCAGTCAACACATCCATGTGGGACTGTGGGAGGCAGGCAGGAGGTGGAGGAGCAAGCAGGCACTCCGAGTTTCAGCTGTCATCCTAGGCCCTTCCAGAGGGCCAGAGAGGGACCCTCGCCCCTGCCCATGGCCCAGACACACAGATGCTCTGTGGGCAGATGGGCTGGGTCCAGGGCCTCTGACGAGCTTTCAGGCCCAGGAGTCCAGGTTCTTGCTCAGTGCGTGGGTTGTGGCTCGGCCTCTGGGTTGGGAATGCTCAGGCTCAGGGTGGGCTATGGGAGTCGGCTGGAGTTTCCTCTGCTCCTTGCCCTCCTTTGCTTTCTCTCTTCTCACACATCTTCCCCCTTTTGCTTCTTGCCTTTGTCTGGCCCTGTCTCCCCTCTTTTCAATTTCTCTCTTACCCCTCTGTGTTCTCAGTGTCTCAGCCCGGCTTCTCTTTTACTCCTGTTTTGGCTCTGAGTCTTCTCTGTCTCTCTCTGCTTCTCCCTCTCTCCCTTTCTGTCCTGCTCCCTCCTTCCTCCTCACCTTGTTTCCCTTTCCCTCTGGACCCTTCCCTTCTCCAGGTTAGGCGGCCGGCCGTTCCTCTGTTCTCCCCGGTGATCTGCCAGCTTGACTGCCTTTGAGACGGAAGTCCTAAACTGTTCCCATCTTCCCATTTGTCCCCAAGCTATTGGCTCAAATTGCTCCCTAGAAGCTTGAGAGCTCCTGGGGCAGGGGCTTCCCAACTTCCTCGCCCATCTCAGGCCTCCCCTTGACCACAAAGGGGAGGGTGGTCCACAGCCAAACTCTCTGGGCCTTCTGATGGCTCTGTAATTCCACCAGCTAGGGGCTTTGGGACGTCCTCCAAAATGAAACCCAGTGGCTGGGCCTGGCTTGGGTGCAGGAGGCCCAGGCTGCCCTCCAGCTCCCAGGCCTGCAGATACCCAGCCTACCGCCACCACAGGGTGGGATGGGGATGCTGGGTGGGCAGGGAAGTGCTGCCCACCTCCGGGAAGGGCAACGTCCACCTTCCGGCATCTGGCCTGCCCACCCTGCCCCGCCCAGAGGCCCTGGTTCTGCCTTCAGGCAGGCACCCCCTGAGTTTTGTGCACAGGGCGGGAACACCTGGATTTCTCTGGCTCCTTAAGTGGGGCCAGCTTGGAGGAATTTCCCAAAGCCTATTAGAGCTGTGGCTGCCTCCTGCCTGCCTCCTCTGGCTGGGCAGGGCTGAGGGCGGAGGGAGAGAGAGAGGGAGGGGGAGAGGAGGAAGAGGAAAAAAAGTTGGCAGGCCGACAGCAGAGCTGTGTCTGCATCCATCACCGAGAAGGCCCGTGTGGTGTGGGGCGGGCCAGGACTGAGGAGCGGCCTTCCTCTCTTTGTGCTCCCCCCTCTTCTCCTCCCCGCACCGGGCCCTATAAATAGGCCCAGCCCGGGCTGTGGCTCAGCTCTCTGAGGGAGTCAGCACCAGGCAGCAGCCTCCAGCCAAGCCCCCTGCTGCCAGCATGGCCAGTGAGTTCAAGAAGAAGCTCTTCTGGAGGGCTGTGGCGGCCGAGTTCCTGGCCATGATCCTCTTCGTCTTCATCAGCATCGGTTCTGCCCTGGGCTTCAACTACCCGGTGAGCGGCAATCAGACGGCGAATGCGTCCCAAGACATCGTGAAGGTGTCACTGGCCTTTGGGCTGAGCATTGCCACGCTGGCCCAGAGCGTGGGCCACATCAGTGGTGCCCACCTCAACCCAGCTGTCACATTGGGCCTGCTGCTCAGCTGCCAGATCAGCATCCTCCGGGCTGTCATGTACATCATCGTGCAGTGCGTTGGGGCAATTGTCGGCACCGCCATCCTCTTGGGCGTCACCTCCTCTTTGCCCAACAACTCTCTCGGCCGCAACGGGGTGAGTGGGTTGGCCCCGGGCTTTGGGGGTTCTGGAATGGGACAGACAGGGCCTTGGTCCTGCCCCTCTGCCCATTGCCCAGATGGAGACACTGAGGAACTGGGAGGTCTAGAGGTGACTGGAGGTCATGCACAGCATTGGGGTCAGAGTTGGGGCTGGAGCTCAGCTATGCCGACAGCCTGCTTTCTGCCAGGTGCTGTGGGGAGCTGAAACTCAGAGAATAATGGTCAATGTCCCCTGTGGGGTGTCTATTGTGGGGAATAAGCTTTGGAGGCAGCTAATGCTTGGAGGCAGTTAACCTTTGAGCCAACAGTGCTGGGCTGCAGTTTCTTTGTCCCCCCTCAGCCCTGCCTGTGCCGCCAGCTCCCCCACCGCAGCCCCAGGCCCTGGGGAAACTCTGGCCACTGTTCCCAGCCACCCTGAACCAGGTGCCTGGCTTGGCTGCAGTCAGCCTGCAAATGTGTGACCAGGACTTCCCTGGGGGCAGCATTGCCCTCCAGGCCGCCACTCACAGCTCCTGGCACTCACTCAGGTCCCCAAACAAACTGCCTCCAAGGAGAAAGCCTTCTCTTGCTCCTCTGCTCCAGAAATGGGACACAGAGAAGGGAGTGCTTTTCTGGGGCAGCTTGGAGGTAATTTTCCTGGATTACAGTGTGGGGTGGGGGCCAGGATCGAGAGCAAGGTGCTGGAGACACCCTGCTTCCTCGCTTGGCTCCACTCCATGGGCACTGTGAGGTATGGTGTGTGTGTGTGCGTGTGTGTGCACAAAGGTGTGTGTGCACGTGTATTCCAGCATGGGTCTCCGAGCTTGTGTTAGCTGTATGCACGCCTGTGTGTGTATGTTTGTTTCTGGAAGTATGTCTGTGAGCACGTTTGTGCTGCTGGGTGAGTGTGTATGGGCGAGTGTGTAACCGTGTGAGCCCACCGCTCCTGGTTTTCGTGCGATCTGGGCTAGGGTCACTGATGAGAAGCAGATGTTGGTGACTGGCTGGCAGCTGCGGAAAAGAATTCCTCCCGGGCCGCTTAGCACAGCTAAGTGGTTATTGGCAGTGGTTGCCTGCTGTCGCAGACCTGGGCTTTTCCAGCCTCTCAGCCAAGTGCAAACTCTGACCCAGCCTGGGTCACAACAGGGGACAATTTGGCCTAAGAGGCTGAATGAACCTTGGAGGGGAGGACAGGTGGATGTCTCACAGGGCATGAGGGGATAGGCAATTCTCACAAGGAGGGAGAGAGGCAAACGAGCAGAGACGGGAACCGGGCAGGGCAGGTGGGTGTGGGGACAACCAGGGAGCTGGCAAGGGCTCCTAGGAGCCAGCAGAGGGTGTTTATAGCAGCTGTCCTCTCGGCAAAGTTCAGACCCTGGCGATGCTGCTGGGGGAGGGCTTGGGGAGTGTCTGGTGCAGAGGGCAGCTGGCGCGGCTGTGACGGGGGATTAACACTTCTGTGCCACAGTGACACCTCGCCCAGCCGCCTTGTTAAGCCATCTTCTGCTCAGTCCAAAATTGAAGATTAGCTCTGTGGGCTGGAGTTTAGACTTTAACCGGAGAAGACATGCCTGCGGTGGGTGTGAGGGACAGCGCTGGGCTATTCTGGGCCTCCAAGCCTCAGTCTCTTCACTGGGGCCAGAGCTAGGCGATCTCAGGGAGGGCTGTCTGGGTGGGTCAGGCTCCCATTGGGGCTAGGCTGGACATGATGGGGGCGGAGAGAGGGTCTCCATGGGGGAGGCTTGAGGCTCCTTAGGCCATCTTCCTCCCCTCCGCCTTCAGGGGCAGAACCTGTGGATCTGCTGGCAGAGGCTTTGCACTCTCTCATGTGGGCATCCCAGGCAGATATGGGGAGGGTGGAGTACTTTCTGTGCTCATCTTGATCTGGCCACACTCTGCTCTGGTACTCCATGCCCTCTCTGGCCTCCCTTCTCCAGAGTCAGCCCACACCCAGGCTGGGCAGTTTGCAGATGGGGGAGGAAGAGGGGCAGTCTAGTGTGGGAGCCAAGTAGGCAAGTACCTGGGTTCAAGTCCTGTCTGCTTCTTACTTGTTGAGTTGCTTTGGAGCTGAAGACCCTGAGGCTCCAGGAGGGGATCCGGGGATCTGACTTTAGTTCTCTTGACATCTCTTGGCCATGCCCAAACTACTAGAAGGCCCACTTTGTTCATGGAGTGTGTGGTCCTTCCCAGGAAGGCTTGGCTGAGAGCGCAAAGGGATGGAACATTACCCTGTCCAGAGATGGAAGCTTGGGGTCAGGAGTTATATTCCAGAAGCACAAATCCTGGGTGTAGAAACAGAAAATGTTCCCCTCAAAGGCTCCCATTGGACACGGGCCCAGGATCTGAAGGGGCCTGGGGGTGGCCTAGGTGCCTTAAGAGAGAGACCATTGTGACACACTCTTTTCTCCTTGCCTTTGGGGAGGCTCCACAGCCCCTCTGGCCCCGACCCCATCCTGGCCAAAACCTGGGTGGAGTGGGTCATGAGCATGGATATTTCCAAGGAAAAAAAGAAAGAAGTGACAGGAAGTAGTTGGGGTGAGTCAAGGGGTGTACCCTGGGGACATCGTGGGGACAACTTTCTCCTGACTAAGTCAGGACTTAGGATACACCCTGGAGAGACCATGGCCTCTGTCTGGCCTGCAGGGTCCTGGCTGGTTCTAAGAGCCAAACCCTAATCTTGGCCAAGAGTGACAGGCTCAGAAGCAGGGGTTGGTGCCCTGGCCTGTCCCTGCCCAGCTCAGTCCCTAATACCCTGTGTGGCACTAGTTCTCAGCTGCAAAAGAGGGATACACCAGCTCATGGGCCCTGACCCTCTGCTGGCTTTTTTAGTCTTCCCCTCACTGGCTCCCTCATGCATGCTCCCTGCAAGCACAGCTGGGTCATGCAGGGTGATGGGTGTTGATTCTTGGCTGAGTGAACCCAGCTCCCTGCCTGGGAAAGCCCACAGCCCAGGGCAAGATAAGCCCTGTGCACAGCTGCCTGAGATAGGAGACAGGAGGCAGATGTGATAAGTTGTGTCAGGGCGGGCTGGGGAGCTTCTGGACTTCAGGGATGGGGAGGAACAGGAAAGCTTCAGAGAGCAGACGCCATGTGAGCCAGAATGTGGAGAGGGAAGGGGGTTCACAGGCAAGGGGACAGTGGGAGGCTGAGTTCTGGTAGCCATTGGGTGTGGCTGGTCTGGGGGATTGTGGTGAGAAGTTGGGGCACTAGAGGGTGGTGAGGGCTCAGGATTCAGGCCAGTGTCTCTCTGAGTCATGGAGAGGGCTGGGTTCCTGGGATGTCCCAGAGCTGTGATTTTGGTCCCCTGGGGGTCAGGCACAGGGCAGACCTCCTCTTGGACCTGTCGATTCCACGCCTGACTGCCTGTGAAATGCTTCTACCTGCTGTGCCTGGGGCCAACCTCGGTCCTAAACTCTCCTCTTCCCTTCCCCTACCTGTGCCTCAGTTTCCCCAATTATGGAGTGAGAGCCCCCTCCACACCACCAGTTCTCACAGGGTTGAGAGCCCCTCCCTTCTCCTCCAGATCTTAGGGGTGGGCTGGGGAAGGGGAAGCTAGAGTTTTCCGACATCCCTGCCCAGGGAGGGGCTGGGGGCTGGGTGGTGGTGCCACATCTGGGACGTATAATTACTGTTTCCAGGCAGAACCAGATGAGGCGGAGGGTGCAGAGAGGTGGGAGTTTTGTGGTGGAGACTTCCCTCAAGACGGAAAATTCTGAGGCCGGTTTTCCCCATTAGAGCCCTCAGAGCAGCCCAGCCAGCCCCAGGCTTGCTCACCTGACACCTGACTCCAACCGGGACCCTCTGTAGAAAGCCTTGTCTGAAGGGGGTGACCCTCTGAGAGGGGACACGGCCTGCTGGGATGCCTCAGTCTGAGGGGACTTGGCCCAAACCAGAGCTTTGTCTGTGTTCCTGCATCCTCCACGTCACAGCCTTCCTCTCATTCCTTAACTTCCCCTTTCTACAGCAGACAGCTTGGCCCTGGCATGAGATGGAGCTATTGACTCATCACAAGGCAATTCCATGCAATCCTCCCAACTCGACCATCAGGGCCGAAGCAGTGCTCCCCATTTCTCTAGGACCCCACCCAGCAGGTGCTTCTTCAGTGTTAGCCCCCCACGACTTCACCCAGGCTGGTCTAATACCCCTGCTCACCTCTCAGGATTGGCTGAGGAGACCTCTCCTGGCAAAGGAGACCTTCAGTTCCAGCCTCCCTGGGGGCCATGGACCCTGCCCTTTGGAAGCGCCCGAATCTGACAACCTCCAAATGGCCAGGCTCTGAGTCCACACACCTCCACCCTCCATACTTCTCTGCAGGTGTGGGTGGGAAAATGTTGTCCATGAGGCCCAAGGGTGTCCAGGGTCCCTTGGCCAGGACCTCTCGCTGGGGACCAGAGGGGCCCCTGCCCAGGGGGCTACACGGAGTTACCTTTCAGTGGGGTGAGCACATCCTAAGGCTGAAAATCCCATTTCAAAGGTGGTAGAGAGGGCTGGAGAATGCCCCCTCCCACATCACCAGTTCTTCCAGTGCCCGAATGCACATGATTAGAGCATGGGACCCTTGAGAGGCAGACTTCTGCTTGGTGTGAGGAGTTTGTTTGTGTTTGTTTTAACTGGGAGGGGGCTGCCTCTGAGTCAGTGAGCCCCCTGCTACTAGAGGTGCGCAAGTAGAATCTATGTGGCAGAGGTTGCTCTGGGGCGTCTGGCTGTGGGGGGTGCAGCAGGGTGGTGGGAGGTTCCACATCACATGCTTTGTGCCATGATGAGCCTAACAGTTCAGATGGCCCCATGGGAAAACTGTGCTCAGGTTTCTGGATCCTGGCCTGGAGGGTGGCCATGGCCCTTGAGGGCAAGGGGGCCTACCCACACTGACTTGGGGGTCAGAGCAGCCTAAGGTTAGGCAGGAAAGAATCCTGTAGACTGTCTGAGGCCAGAATCTGGGCCTGTCCCATTTCACTTATGGGGAAACTGAGGCTTACAGAGGAGGAGATTTGTGTGGGGTTGCACAGAAGTTCATGGCAGACCTATGATCCTAGCCTCCTGCCTCCCAGCCTTTATTATTTCTGTTGCTCCAAAATGCACACACACACACACACACACACACACACACGTACACGGGCGCGTGCACACACACACACACACGCCACATACTTGCACATGAGGAACACACACAGAGGGGCATGGAGCACGTTCTCAAGTCCCAGTAGTCATGCTCAGGCCCTGGGACCCGTAAAGGTGGGGTAGGGCTCCTCCAGAGCTCTTCCTTTCTGCGGTGGGAAGGAGGGGGCCTCCTGGACTAAGGAAAAGGAGGGAGGGAGGGAAGGAGGAAGCCATTGCTTTGTGTATTGTTTCTTGTCGGGAAGATGAAATGGCTTCTGGGAGCAAATAAAGGGCCCTTTGAGACTCACTCTACTCTCGCTCAGGGAGTCCTCTGCTCTCTCTCCCCCCAGCCAATGTAGGTACATGGGTGGGGATGTGACTCACAATGACACAGTGATACACTCAGACACAAACACACAGCTGCAGCCACCAGGGACACAGGCCACACAGAGACCCAGACATACCACACAGAGACCCCCTGACTTATCACACAGAGACCCCTGACATACCACACAGAGACTCCACCTCAGTAAAGAACAATGTCCTGTGAGACAGCGGTTCTCAGAAATAGCTAAGATGTTTGCGCCAGTATATGATTAGTTTGGTTAACTGTCCCACATGTGTTAGAAAGGAATGTATACTTTCTAGTTTAAGGGTGCAGGGTTCTACATATTTTCCTTTTATCAAGCTTGTTCATTATGTGGTTCAAATCCTTCCTGTTCCTATTACTAACATTTTTTGACTGCTTCATTCTACCAGTTTCTGAGAGACAATCATTAAAATCTTCCACTCTGGGAGAGGATTGATCAAATTTTCCTCATAACCCTGCCAACTTTTGTGTCATTTTTTAGGCTTTGTTTTTCAGTGCATATAGGCTGAGAATTTTTATATCTCTTAGACAGATTTTTCATTGATTTATTGTATAATAAGCCTCTTAATCTATACTTAAAAAGAAAAAGAGATGCACACCCAGATATACGTGGTTATGCAGGCACTGATCTACGAAAATGTACAAAGCCGTGGATGCTCAAAGGCACGTGCACACACCAACGTCTGTGGAAGCAGCTACCTAGACACGGAGCGGCCCACTGAGGCTGCCTCACTGCCTAGTGCTGAGTCCTGGAAGTGCTAGGGCAGGCAGGACAGGCCTCGGTGTCTACTGTTCCCTGTTCCTTGAGGGCAGATGCTCAGAGCCTCAGCCAGACCTGGCCTTGGAGCCTGCTGCTCCTAAGGGTGGGGCACCAGCGTGCTCAGGTCAAGTCAGGGGCCCTGGACCTTGGAAGCCACCTTGATCATTCTGCTTAGGGACAGCAGGGAGGGTTTGGGGCCCTTTGCTGGGAGAAGTCGGCTCTGGACTGTGCTGGAGTCTGGGACATGTTGGCAGCTACAGAGCCACCTTCTACCAGCTCCCAGTCCAAACAGAACAACCAGGTCCCTTGGCTGCCCTGTGAGTGTACGAAGGCACAGACCTCTGGGGGAGGAGGATGCTGGGCAAGCTTCATTCCTCCCTGAGCCTTGGCCTTCTCATCTTACTAAGCCCTGGTGGGGGCTCCCTGTGAAGCCAGAGTGGCTAAGAACTGGCCCCAGGTCTCCCAGCCCTAGTCCAGAGCGCTTCCCTACAGAAGCTGCCCCTAGAGAGAGTGGGACTTCTAGAAAAGCAGCCTCCTCCCCCACTTCTGTCACACACAGCTGAGCCTCTCCTGAGAGCTCCAGGCAGAGAGAAAGTGAAGGTTCCCCACCCCTGTCCTCACCCAGCTCCCAGCAGCGGGGGATGAGGCACCCACATACAAGGCAGGAGAAATACTTCACTACGAGAGGTACAGCCAGCTCCGTGAGGGTGTGAGGGCGTGGGGGTAGAAGTTAACTCCAGCTAGGGATCTGGAAGGGCTTCCTAGAACTAAAACCAAAAAAAAAACAAACCTGTTGCTGGTGAGTGGAAATTGATTCATAGAAACCTTATAGGACAGAGCAGAACTGTTCCACAGGGTTTCCAAGGAGCCGCTAGTGGATTTGAACTGCCGACCTTTTGGTTAGCAGCCAAGCTCTTAACTGCTGTGCCACCAGGACTCCTTCTTAGAACTAGTGGGGTCTAAACTGGGCCTTGAGCAGTGGGTTTAAGTGGGTTAGATGTGCAGACTGAGAGCTTCTAGTCTTTCTGATGCTTCAGAGTAAATGTGCAGATTATGCTTTTGTTTATAATTGTATTCAATGGATTGTTACTTTTTTGGCTTTTATCAGTGAAATATAAGATCTGGGGCAAGTAAAATTACCTGGGGGTATGCAAACTTTTTTTTTTTTTTTTTTCAGTAGCAAGTGACCACAACTGGGATTGGCGCAATTTAAGCAATAGCTCATATTTAATGGATTGTTTTGAGCTTTCTACCCACTCTTTCCTGGACACTAAGTTTCAACAGACTTTTGACTGCCCCTTCCAATTATGAATTATCTAGTTTTTCCAGATGTAAGAGAATGCAAGTGTATTTGGTGCTCAAAGGAGAGGAGGTCAGTCAGCAGACGCTGAAGCAATCAGGGAAGGCTTCCTGATGGTGGTGGTGGTGGATTGGGCGAGGAAGGTTGCCAACCCACGTGGCTCTGAGCTAAGTACTCTGGGTGGTCAGGAAGGAGACACTTCCTGGAGTTCCCAGCAGAGGTGGCCAACTCATTCCCTTCCCGGGGTTCAGAGCTCTAAGCCTGGTACCATGCCCCTCTGCTCTGCTCACTTTGCATGGAAAGCTGTGCCTGTGGGTAGGGGCTGGGTCTGTCAGACCTGAAGGGGGAGATGAGCTTACAGAGGCCATAAGTGTGAGAGAGGCAATGAGAAAGGCAGGGTAGGTGGGGAGTCTGAGGCCAGCTTCTGCTTTGTGGAAAAGCCACTTACTCTGTTAATCAGCAAGGAAGAGCTGGTTTCAGGACTGCCGCCAGTCAGCAATTAGGCCGACCCTGGAGAGCAGAGGAGAGGGGAAGAAGGAGCCAGGAGCTTCCCGAGTGCTCAGACACACAGGGTAGCAGGCCTGACAGGTGGCGGGGTATCAGAATAAGCCCCCCAGACCCAGTCTCACCTTCATGGAGCTGTCCCAGTGCAGACAGCTTCTTCCAGCAGCCCCAGCCACCCTCAGTCCCATCTCCGTACCCCTGCACTGCCCCCAGCAGAATTTATTCTGTCCCCTCCCCTCTACCTGTCCCAAATCCTGGGAATGTGATGAGAAAGAACTGGAACAAGAGCCAGAACAGTGCCTTCTGCCTCTGCCATAAAAAAATCCATTGCCATTAAGTCGATTCTGACTCATAGTGACCCTACAGAACAAAGTAGAACTGCCTCATAGAGTTTCCAAGGAGCACCTGATGGATTTGAACTTCTGACCTTTCGGTTAGCAGCCATAGCACTCAGCCACTATGCCAGCAGGGTTTCCTCTACCTCTGTGGCCCTCTTCGAAAGCCCTGAGACATTCCTGTTACCTTTGAACCACCCAACCCCTCTGGAGAGTGGCTGGGGGAAAGTTAGATCTATTTTACAGACGGTGAAACTGAGGACCAGAGGCAGAGAGCACTTGCTGGTGGTAATAGAGCCAGCAAGTGGAAGTCAGGACCTGGACTGAGGGTTCCTGCCTCCAAAGCCCAGCCTTGGGGTCAGAAGAAAACTGGACACTGCCCAGTGGGACACAGCTCTGGGGTTGGCCAAGAGAGGCTGAGAGCTGGGGCTTCGAGGTATCAGAGGGGATGTGAGTCATTTTCCCTGTAGTCCAGGGCTGCAGACAAAGGCGGGAAGAGAATTGTTCTGTAAGATGGCCTCAGGGTGGGGCCGGGATTTGCAAAATGCCCTAGGTCTTGGAGCACCCTTATGCCCTCAGGGTGAGAGGTGAGACTTCCAGCTCAAGCTGTTTTGTCCACACCAGCCCTGCCTGGGAAAAGGCAGCCTAGGTGGCCACATCTGGGCATCTTTGCAAGTGGGCCTTTGCCAACCTGGTCCAACTCCCCCATGGCGGGTGCACCTGGCCCAGGAACCCCCACACGGAGGTGGGTGCAGGGCTCCCTGGGAGGGGTCCTGGTGCAGCTCCAGGGGAAGGGCTCTGTGAGCTCACTACAGCTCCCATTCCCTTCTTTTTCCATGAGTCATCTTTCTAAAAGTGACTCAGGAGACGGTGGTGGGACCTATGTAGCCAGAGAAAGGGAGGGAGGGGCTGGGGTCTGGAGGGAGGGAGAGAGGGGAGAGAGGGATGGCAGGACCAAGAAAGGACGGGAGAAGAGAGACACTGGACCAGGGAGACAGATAGATGCAAGGGCTGAGGGGGAGACAGAGGGTGGAGGCAGCCAGGGAGACAGGCACAAAGCAGAGGACAGAGAGAGCTGCGAAGAGCTAACTGAAGAAGTCCTCCCCTGGCTTTGGGATTTTTAGATGTAGCAGGGAATGGGGTCGAATGTGCTGGATCTGCGGTGTAAAGCAGTGTAAACCATTTGCTGCTCCTCCTGTGCCTGGGGCTCAGCCCCTTGCCCAGGATCTTGGCTACCCTTAGGGTACCCCGGCCTGGATGGGGAGCCCCCACCACACCCCAGACATCTCTGACCTCTAGGCAGATGGGGCAGGGCCTTGGCAGGCACTAGGGGTAGAGCTTCAACAACAGGTGGAGTGGGGGGACAAGGCCTGAGTTCCAGACTCTGGGCTGCTGTTTGCTGTGTTGCTTGCACAGGGCCTATGCCCCTCTGGGTGGTGAGGGGCTGCGGTGATGTGCTCTGAAGGTGATGAGGTTCTGGCCCTGCAACACAGTCCCCGACCTGCAACACAGGGCTCCAGACCCGCAACACAGTCCCACCCGTTCTGCTCACTGGGCTGCCCCTCTCCCTGCAGCTGGTGCCTGGTGTGAACTCGGGCCAGGGCCTGTGCATCGAGATCATCGGCACCCTGCAGCTGGTGCTGTGTGTGCTGGCCATCACTGACCGCAGACGCCGTGACCTTGGAGGCTGGGCCCCCCTGGCCATTGGCTTTTCTGTGGCTCTGGGACACCTGCTGGCGGTGAGTGGGAGGCCTTCCCAGGAGGGGGTGGGTGGGGCACAGCAGCTCAGGGAGCTAGTGGGGTGGACCTCAATGTGGGCGCAGATGGGACCCCCGACAGGGCTCATGCCATGGGTCGGGGTGGGCTGGGTGGCAGGTCAGCTCCTCAGGTCTCGGGGGACAGGGCCCTGTGCAGGACGAGGAGGCACAGGGCCCTCGTGACAACTTTCCTGGATTATGTCCCCCTCTCTTTCTTGGTCTGGTCACCCCTTACCCCCGCCTCCACTCACTGCTGTTTTTTTTTTTTGTTTGTTTTTGGTCTTCTCTCTCTTTCTCCCTCTCCTGCCCCCTATCATGGCTCCTTCTTTCCGTGTCTTTCTGTATCTCTCCCTGTCTCTCTCTTTCTTTCTCCCTGTCTCACTTTCTCTTCATCTCTGTTTCTCTGCCTCTTGGTCTC